TCATCCAGGAAGTGCCTCACTAATGTCACTGCCAGAACCAGGTGTCTCTCTGTAGATCAGTCTGGGTTCTGTAAAGTGCCTCACTATGTTAAGATGAGTCCAAGATCCTTCCCTTGTTGTGAGGCCTGACTGCTTTAGCCCTAATTACTCCTTCATTATAGACACATACACTCTGGAGCTCCATGTTTAGATCTATGGTTTAGAAGTGCCAGTTGATTAAACTGCTTTTTATTCTAATATAATCACTGCTTTGACTAGATGTAGAGGATGATGAGACCCATTGCTCTTCCACACCTTTCAGTAAATGTCAAATGGCTTACAACTGTGAGTCTTATTTTGGGATGAGAATTTATGACTCGGCCTAAGACTAGCCTATATGAAGGCATGAAGGACGTGAAAATGAATGCACAATAGCCTGGCCATCACTTACTGTAAGACAACTACCCCCATCTGAGTATTATAGACACGAGAAGTTGAAGTCTGGCCAAGACTCTAGCCTCACCTAACAGTTAGCCCTAATAAGTAAGTGATTCTTCCAGATGAACCATAGAACTTACTGTAAGATCACAATTAGGGAAGACTCATCAAGGTAAGGGTACAGTCTGCAGCATTAGTCACAACACAATTTAACTCCATATAAAGATTAAAAGCAAGAAAGCAACAATACACTGTGAACTTTGTAATAAATTCAGGAAAGAAGTTTTCACAATCTTGATACACACACACACACAGTCCTATACATCCAGTTTAAAACATGAAGGGAAGACCAGACATCAATCCTAACAACTTGCTCACCTTCAATTATTTTCTCAACTGGTCAACCTTTATAAAGATCAGATGACAACACGGTCAAACTTACCTCAGGTCACGGCACAGTACATAACGACCAGGACTGAGCAGGAAGCAACAAGTCAACAAATTAACACACCACTTCTAACCTTTACTATACACTGTACCAGAGTTGGAGGCTTCACCCTCAATTGAACCATCCTCCAAGGTATAGTTTGTGTTGGCATGAAGTACTGTACAGTCACTCCAATTTCTTCTTAAGACCCATAACAGCTCAGGAAGGAAATTGCTCTTTTACTGCAAACTTCCTCACAAAATAATATATTTGCTCTTTTCATCTGCGAACTTCCTCACAAAATAATATATCTGTATCTCACACTTAAGCTGAGGCCCAAACAATCACTTGGAAACAACACTATAATGACAACAGTATCATTCAAACTGCTCTCACACACCTGACAAGAGTTATGCCACTTTCGTTGAGAGAAACATCCACCTTTGTGGCACAGGTCTAAACTGATGTTTACAGCACTTACATAATCTATCTTAGCTAGGTCAAGCTGGATGTTTATTTCTTAAGCTTTAAAGGGTGGCAGATATCATGTGATGTTTAGGTCAGGTATACCCCGTCCTGATGGACTGCGCATTACAAATATATCCGTCTTCTAAGAATTAACCAATCCAAACCTTATGTTCTCCCATAAAACCAGACCTATCCACCTGAACAAGACTCTGAAGGACTGGTCCACTCTTCACTAACCCAAAAGAACTGGAGGGTTTCTGGGTATCTTGTACAGTACTGATACATACACACAACCCAAGAATGGTGAGGACAAGGTCATCAGACACAATAGGAGCATTAAACAGGCCACCAACTCCTTCTTTCTCAAAATAAAATCAACTTGGCTTCCTTTAACACTACATTCAGCCTGAGCCTGTATATCCCTACCTCTTGGGTCAGGCAACCGTGTGGATAAAATACTATTTGAAAGGACGCCAGTTATAAACATATGCCATAGTGTAAGGTCAGTGTCACAAACAAATGTCAGATGAACCAGTAATTGGATAGATGACAAATGAAACAAATTTTAAAACCACCTGAATCACCTGAAGGCTGAAACAATCTTATCAACAAAGTTTTAAGGAGGTATATGACACCACTAAAGTCTTAAGTGCTATACAGTACACTAGAAATAAGCATGACTTAGTTCCTCAAGCTGAGCTGTCCAAAGAATTATCTGCTTCTGGTTTATGACATATGAGAAGAATACAGTTTACTGTGCAAGCTGCTCTAGCATCAAGCATAATTTGTGCCTCTCAAGCCCAATTCTAGGTTCAAGGTAAATATGAGAGATCTGAACCACTGTGACTCATCGCCGCCAAGGGTCAGCCTGTCTTGGGGGCATTACAGCACCCAAGTCTCCTCCAACATGAAGCCACAAAACATCTAATGACATAAACAGTTCCTTGACCATTAAACATCTGGCAGCTTGTCAAGTTGTAATAAAGATAAAATATATCATTAACTCTGGAATAATAGGCCATTGTAATCATGTATGAACCACTGGTTTTAACCCAAACTAAAGATGTGTTTGATATAAGACACATTCTCTTCTGCCTGACTATTAAGCACAGTACAGTACAGTGCTGTAATGTACTGTACATAATGATTGTACATACAGGTTGCACTGTAACTGTACTTACAGTACTGTACAGCACAGCACACACAGTACAGTACAACACAGCACAATATTGTACAACACAGTACAGTACAGACAACACAGCACAGTACAGTACAATACAGTACAGCACAATACAGTAACGTACAACACTTTACAGCACAGCACAATACAGTAACGACAACAGTTTACAGCACAGCACAATACAGTAACGCATAAACACTTTACAGCACAGCACAATACAGTAACGTACAACACTTTACACACAATACAGTACAACACAATGCAATACAGTACAGTACTGTACAATACAATACATATAGTACAGCACAATACAATACAGTACAGTACAGCATAATATACAGTACAGTACAGCATACACATAATATGCATAGTACAGCACAATACAGCACAATATAATACAGTACAGTACAGCACAATATAGTACAGTAAATAAGAAGGTAATAATATTGAGGCAGATATGTGCCTCACCTTCCCAGAAAAATACAAATAAATAAAAATAGAGGAGGACAGATGGACATGATAGTAAAGTGAGGAACACCACACTGTAACTTGTTGTACCTAGGGTGGAACACCACACTGTAACTTGTTGTACCTTAGGTGAGGAACACCACACTGTAACTTGTTGTACCTTAGTGAGGCACCACACTGTAACTTGTTGTACCTTAGGTGAGGAACACCACACTGTAACTTGTTGTACCTGAGTGAGGAACACCACACTGTAACTTGTTTACCTTAGGGAGGAACACCACACTGTAACTTGTTGTAACTTCAAAGTAATAAGGTCACTGCCTTGTCTACAACTACGGATGAGAACACCCTCACAAAGTACATTAACAGTTACACATAAAACAAATATCAACTAATAAATTAAAATACTATAAGGTACAGTGTGCATAAGGAGTCGTATGATAACAATTAATGCAGCCAGACATACCCGAAGGCACCACATCAAATACTGAAACCTAAAACTATTGCTTCGTTTCACCCCAAAAAGTGTTTACAAAAATGTTCCACGAACAAAATGAGTGTTTGAGCATGCAAAGAAAGCATGGTAAGCATGCACCTCTACCTGCATGAGGCATTACCAGGACAGCTACACTACACTACAGTATAGGCTATACACCCTGTGTGCCGTTCAGATTCTGGTTCCTGGAAATTTTGTACAGTACAGTACTTAAGTGAGACTCATTAAGTATTTTATATAAGTAAAGGGATGATGACACACTGTTTGCCAGGACAACACATTTGGTCTTATGTAATAATAAATATTTTGCCAAATTCTGTAAAAGCTCTAAACTGAGGTAGTCTCTACACTCCCACAGTATGTCTTGTGGGTTTGGTGCATGTGTTCATGACTCTTCAAAACCTGGCATCTCTCTCTACTGTATATTTCACTTAAGAGTTTTAAAATACTTGAACAGAGATTTTTCAGTCCAGAAATCAGAATATTAGTGTCTGAAATTTAAAACTATGATGTGAAAATTCCCATTAGTAAAACATATATTATTAACAACAGGATCTAATGTACAATACAAACAGTATACAGGTGTATATATATAGTCCTCAAACATGTACTGCATAAATGAGATACAGCAAATAAAGTGCAACAAAGGGATTGATAAGGAGAAATTATTAAACAAATTACAAAATACATTTTCTCTGTATTCCAATAACACACACACACACACACTGTTGATTCGAGGGTGTCTGTTGCATCCCTCCTCCACGTATCGTACCATCCACCACTATATTACAACAGGCACAGATGTAAGAGACAGCAATGAACTGAGAGAAGAGACACAACACAGAACTGACCCGTGATGGTGTGGAAAATGGCCGTTAAATAGTGATGGTTAAGATGATAAAGAAGAAGAGTTTGTAGTTCCCTGACAGCTACAGAGACAGACAGACACTGGTTTTGACCCGGGAAATTATATATCAAGAGGATAAATGGAGCCAGCTGTTATAAAAAAATACTTGCAATTAATTTATTTTTATACCATTTACACATGTATGGCATTTCCCGTGTGTGTGTGTGTGTGTGAGAGTTGTGTGTGTGTGTGGTGTGTGTGTGTGTGTGTGTGTGTGTGTGTGAGTGTGTGTGTGTGTGTGTGAGAGAGAGTGTGTGTGTGAGTGTGTGGAGAGAGTGTGTGTGGAGTGTGTGTGTGTGTGTGTGTGTGTGTGTGTGTGTGTGTGTGTGAGGTGTGTGTGTGTGTGTGTGAGAGAGTGTGTGTGTGTGTGTGTGTGTGTTGTGTGTGTGTGTGTGTGTGTGTGTGTGTGTGTGTGTGAACAAGTGTTATGTAAAACCAACATAATAGGAGAGGGTAACATTTGTTGAAGTAATACTGTACATTATATAGTGAGACAACATTTGCAGGAGACAAGTGTACAGTGTACTAGAGAACTGTCTCAGGTTCAGTGTTCATCATGCAACGGTGTTTGGGGGAGAATAATGTTCATCTCAATGGTCTGCAGACTCGTTCTACGGACATCTAAAATAACGCTTACCTGACTCCGCTGTATCTGCGAGAGTCTGCGGTGGACAAGGACGGCGAGATCTTGCGGAGGCCGTAATATTTCTTCGTGGTTATCCATGAGGAAGGAGACTATGCGGAGCGACAACACTTCAGTAGTCCACTTCTCGTACACAGGAGGATGCTGCGTGTGAAGGTGTTCAGTACCTGTCGGGTGACCTACATTACATGGCTGCTGGGGACCTTCACCTAACATAATACATATGAGTGAAGATAAACCAATATGAGGAAGAGAAACAGGTCCTTCTATCCCTTACCTGCCCCATCTATGCCACAAGTCATATGCACAATTATGAAGTAAGAATATCACAAAGAGAAACATTATCCTGAACATATACTATGCAAATAATGTTTAACAAATGAATAATTTAAATTTTTTCTTCATCTTTATTTATTTTACTGTGAGAAGACTGAAGTGTTTAGTATCCCAGTCTGGTCTGATGTCAGTAACAAGAATAAATGTTAAATGGATAAGTTCAGCATTTGTTCTGTAGATAAAACCTCATGAATGTAAAATATGTCAAAATGTTTATATGAGAAGTGCAGTAAACTTAATGTTGATGCATCACTACCATATGTGTTGGCTGGGTCTCACACTACATCACCACTATATGTGTTGGCTGGGTCTCACACTACATCACCACTATATGTGTTGGCTGGGTCTCACACTGCATCACCACTATATGTGTTGGCTGGGTCTCACACTTCCATCACCACACCTGTGTGTTGGCTGGGTCTCACACTACATCACCACCCATATGTGTGTTGGCTGGAGTCTCCCTACATGCCACTATATGTGTTGGCTGGGTCTCACACTACATCACCACTATATCATGTTGGCTGGGTCTCACACTACATCACCACTATATGAGTTGGCTGGGTCTCACACTACATCACTGCCACCATATGTGACAGCTGAGTCTCACTACATCACCACTATATGTGTTGGCTGGGTCTCTACTACATCACCACTATATGTGTTGGCTGGAGTCTCACACATCACCACCTATATGTGTTGACTGGGTCTCACACTACATCACCACTATATGTGTTGGCTGGGTCTCACACTACATCACCACTATATGTGTTGGCTGGGTCTCCACACTACATCACCACTATATGTGTTGGCTGGGTCTCACTACATCACCACTATATGTGTTGGCTGGGTCTCACACTACATCACCACTATATGTGTTGTGGGTCTCACTACATCACCACTATAATGTGTTGGCTGGGTCTCACACCTACATCACCACTATATGTGTTGGCTGGGTCTCCACACTACATCACACTATATGAGTTGGCTGGGTCTCTGCTAACATCACACCACCATAGCATTGTGGCTGGGTCTCCTGCCTACACTCCACCACTATATGTGTTGGCTGGGTCTCACACTACATCTCACCACTATATGTGTTGGCTGGGTCTCACACTACATCACCACTATATGTGTTGACTGGGTCTCACACTACATCACCACTATATGTGTTGGCTGGTCTCACACTACATCCACTATATGTGTGTTGTGGGTCTCACACTACATGTCACCACTATGTGTTGGCTGGGTCTCACTACATCACCACTATATGTGTTGGCTGGGTCTCACACTACATCACCACTATATGTGTTGGCTGGGTCTCACACTACATCACCACTATATATGTGTGGCTGGGTCTCACACACTACAACACCACTCTATGTGTTGGCTGGGTCTCACACTACATCACCACTATATGTGTTGGCTGTGTCTCACACTACATCACCACTATATGTGTTGGCTGGGTCTCACACTACATCACCACTATATGTGTTGGCTGGGTCTCACACTACATCACCACTATATGTGTTGGCTGGGTCTCACACTACATCACCACTATATGTGTTGGCTGGGTCTCACACTACATCACCACTATATGTGTTGGCTGGGTCTCACACTACATCACCACTATATGAGTTGGCTGGGTCTCACACTACATCACCACTATATGTGTTGGCTGGGTCTCACACTACATCACCACTATATGTGTTGGCTGGGTCTCACACTGCATCACCACTATATGTGTTGGCTGGGTCTCACACTACATCACCACTATATGTGTTGGCTGGGTCTCACACTACATCACCACTATATGAGTTGGCTGGGTCTCACACTACATCACCACTATATGTGTTGGCTGGGTCTCACACTACATCACCACTATATGTGTTGGCTGGGTCTCACACTACATCACCACTATATGTGTTGGCTGGGTCTCACACTACATCACCACTATATGTGTTGGCTGGGTCTCACACTACATCACCACTATATGTGTTGGCTGGGTCTCACACTACATCACCACTATATGTGTTGGCTGGGTCTCACACTACATCACCACTATATGAGTTGGCTGGGTCTCACACTACATCACCACTATATGTTGGCTGGTCTCACCACATCACCACTATATGTGTTGGGCTGGTCTCACACCACATCACCACTATATGTGTTATTGGGTCTCACACTACATCACCACTATATGTGTTGGCTGGGTCTCACACTACATCACCACTATATGTGTTGGCTGGGTCTCACACTACATCACCACTATATGTGTTGGCTGGGTCTCACACTACATCACCACTATATGAGTTGGCTGGGTCTCACACTACATCACCACTATATGTGTTGGCTGGGTCTCACACTACATCACCACTATATGTGTTGGCTGGGTCTCACACTACATCACCACTATATGTGTTGGCTGGGTCTCACACTACATCACCACTATATGTGTTGGCTGGGTCTCACACTACATCACCACTATATGTGTTGGCTGGGTCTCACACTACATCACCACTATATGTGTTGGCTGGGTCTCACACTACATCACCACTATATGTGCTATGCACTACATCACCACTATAAGTGGCTGGGTCTCACACTACATCACCACTATATGTGTTGGCTGGGTCTCACACTGCATCACCACTATATGTGTTGGCTGGGTCTCACACTACATCACCACTATATGTGTTGGCTGGGTCTCACACTACATCACCACTATATGTGTTGGCTGGGTCTCACACTACATCACCACTATATGAGTTGGCTGGGTTCTTTTTATAGGAAGGTGCCAGTTTTTATAATTGAACTCTCAGGGAAAATTTGGTCCAATCTCCAAAAGGTTTCTCAGGAACAGAACTCCTTCATAAAGTGGGGAATGCCTGTACTGAACTCCCTGAATACTCTACCTCACCTGTACTATTCAACTCGTCCACAAATGCATCCTGTTCACGTTTCCTGACCACTCACACACAAACACATTCAGTGTATCTCCAAACACAAGTATTCTCTCTCTTCCCACATCCACCAAGCAGGAGACCACCACCTAGTACTACACTTTCCTGCTCACTAAACTTTCATGCTACAACTCATCATTTTCTTCCTCACTTAGCCCAAGCTGTGAGGTTCATGCTGACAAGGCTAAAAAAAGAGAGAAGAGAGAAAGACTAATTTTGAAGTAAAAATAGATGTACTAAAACAGTCGTTGAAGGAGAATGAGCTGTACAGCACACACGAGCAGAAAACTTGGCTTACCAACTACTACAGTAGGAAATGATGGTTCAGCAGGAGGTAAAGTGAAGGTTAAAACACAACAATATGATGGTTCAGCAGGAGGTAAAGTGAAGGTTAAAACACAACAATATGATGGTTCAGCAGGAGGTAAAGTGAAGGTTATAACACAACAATATGATGGTTCAGCAGGAGGTAAAGTGAAGGTTATACCACAATATGATGGTTCAGCAGGAGGTAAAGTGAAGGTTATACCACAATATGATGGTTCAGCAGGAGGTAACTCACCAGAGCTCGGGTGGATTGTTCCTGGTCGAGGCTCAACTTGTCATTGTTGGACATCTTGCTCATCATGCGCAGCAGGAGGTGCAGCTTCCTGCGCCGGACTGGAGCTAACAGCAGCAATAGTAACTGAATAGAACCGACAGCAACATCCTTACCCTCTCTTGTTAAAAGCCCTAGAAGCAAACAATACGCAGTCAGGGGTGTTTTACTACCTCAGTTCTCTACCACTAACACTTCTTTACTAAAATTAACCAAGAAAACTAGTCAGTGTGAGACAGTTGTAACACAGTTTATGTAAAACTAGTCAGTGTGAGACAGTTGTAACACAGTATATGTAAAACTAGTCAGTGTGAGACAGTTGTAACACAGTATATGTAAACAATTTAATGGCTATACATCTCCAGTCTGAAACACACAATCACTTACATTATCAGTAAAAACAAACAACAACTCAAGCTTCATACCAAAAGTCTTCCAACCCAGGAATATAAAGACTTAGTGAGCCACATGCCACGACCACCTCAAGTGTCCCACCACGGCCACCCATCAGGGATAACTTCAGTAACCTTTCTCTTAGTAACTACACAACTAAGAGTAATTTGTTACATTAGTCTTGATAAACATGCTGTTTTGTTAATTACCACACCATGCTAACTATTACAAATGGTTCCTGTGAGTTATGGAGGTCTCAACAAGCCATGCTGTTGCCAGGTGGAAGCAGTGCAATTAAACAATGGTGCCCACCCCTTTAACCTTAATTAACTGGTCTTTCAATTTACTTTATATATAACTTACAGTCTGTGTAAAATGCACTACAAATATATGGTATACAAATAGTCCCTAATTTACAAAGTTTCAGTACAGTAGTAGCAATAGTACACCTGACCCTCGCTTTATGCTATGATTGCCTTCTGCGACAACACGGCATAATAGGATTCCGCATATAGTCAATACTTAATCTTATGGGGAAAATTAGGATATTTTCCACAACTACTAAAAGTCAACAGTAATGCAATAAAAGTTGAGGAAAAATCATTACAATACAGAACTCTAATGTGGGTTAGAAACTAAGATAATATCAAACTATAAATTAAGACAAGAAGAGCATGGGTGTGGAGTGGCTGACTCACCACTCCAGCTGGCTCCTGTGACGTCACATACAGCGCCGTAGACACACATACACTGTGCCACGTTTCACAACTATTTCTGGAGCATTAATGGTATAAAAGTTGAAGAAAAATCATTAAAATACTCTAATGTGGTTTAGCAATAAATATAATATAATATAAAACTAGTGTGCCATAACTTCTACAGAATGCATAATAGGGAATCTTTTACACATAAAATGAATTGTGGGTACAAAGAGAGTCACTGTATAAACGTGAATGATGAGCATAAAGCGAGGGTCCAGTGTAGTAGTACTGTTTCAAGTAAAAGGCAACATAGCTGGCAATTCCAAGTTTTCGTAGCACTGTTAAGACCACGGCCTGTGGAGGTGGGCGGCTTCATAGTGCAGAGATGTTTATAAAAAAAAAGAAAAAAAAAAAAAAGATGGGGCCCAGAGAAGCATATCCTTACAATGGCTGTGATTTTGTATGTACAGACCTATAATTACAAGATGTATATGCATACATACACACCAGCATTAATACAAGGACTCGCACTACAGATTTACTGTTTAATGGATATTTTAGAGGATTCCGAAACACCACGCTGGCGATTTAGGCGCGAAAAACATTTTCACTTGTGTAATGGAGTTATTCCTGCTGATCACAGACAGTGGTGGTGAAGTTTAAGAAATGCACTGCCAAGACCCACATAACCTAGTAGCGGTTTATGTAGTGAGATGACATTACATCCCATTCTGCTTCCACCTTAACTTGAGCTGCAAATTACTGTAGCATGGTCGCGCAACTGAATGCAGGTCAGGTACCTGCAATCTGTGTCAGTAAGATTCCTACTGTCCGTGATGTCAGTGGTGGGCACGGCTCCGCTAACCGCCAATTAGCGAAGATAACTTTCTCGTTAGCTGATTAGCGTTTTCGCTAACTTTGGAAACCATTTTGGGTCTGCTAAATTTAGTTCCACTAACTTTAAGTCCACTAACAAAATTTATACATGTTTGTTTCTGTCTGTTGTAAGTGTGTGACGCCGCGACGCGTGTCTCCAACAGCCAGTCAGGCACGCTTGGCTGACTGCGTGTTAGTACGTGCAAAGATATCTTGAGGGCCAAGAGAGCCACCCTGTCAGATGGCAACTTTGAGAGACTGATGTTTATGAAGGGCAACCAGCATCACGTCGATGCGATGGAGAAGGCCCAGCCACTGCAGCCGGAATGAATGGAATTTTTCGATTATTAAAGTTTAATACTTTTTTTTACAGTAAATAAAGACTGTCAGTATATGTTGAAAGAATCATAGAATGTAATTGTAAACTAAAGTATAATTTCATTTCTCATTTATTTGTTAACTTATTAAGGATTTTTTTGTGTCAATATATTTGGTTATGCTAAGTACTGCATAAGTTCATAACCAGGATGTCATCCAAGGTGTGCGCCAAACAAAATTTTCTAAAAACTTTCTTTTCATTAAAGTTTAGAGTTTTCTGTTTATTTACATGACTAAGACCAACAATAAGTTATATAAAAATGCACTGGTATAATGTGTGTGTGTTTGGTATTGCATATTTACATGAATAATGAATAAGGCCGATAGGTTGTATGAGAATGCAAATTAATTATTTGTGAAATTGTGTACAGTGTACACCTTGATAAGTTGATCATCATCTGATCTTGGCATGATGCTATTTGCTACCTGTGCTATACAGTACTACAGTTTTTGGATTCGCTTAATACTTTTTGTCTTTTCGTACAGTAAATAAAGATTATAAAGTGTTTGTTGAAACTTGAATGTAAACTAATGTTTAATTTCATTTATTCATTTAATTTTTTGTGTACACATTGATCATCATCTGATCTTGGCATGCTATACCTTTTTGGAAAGCTCTATGTCTAAGCTACAAGACAACATATGAAAATTTCAGCTCTAGGTCTGTTTTTAAGGGTTTTAGAGCCCCCACCCCCCCCCCAAAAAAAAAACAAGATAAATTCATAAAATAAAAGTTAGCGGTTAGCGTTAGCTTCCGCTAATTTTTTTTAGCAATCTAGCGTCAGCGAAGTTAACTTTTTAGTTAGCGGATTAGCGGTTAGCGAAGCTAACTTTTCGTTTAGCTGTGCCCACCACTGTTGATATCCTCATTAACCTCAATAATTGGTGCAGAAGTCTTCCGGGAATGAGAAATTTCTGGGACGAGATGAATCTCTCAAATCCAGAAAATCCCAAACCCACGACTCTAAACTTCGCATCTCATCATTTGAATAACAACACGAGTGTTTTAGGCAATGGCGTCTGTTTATGTGTGACCCAAGCTGACCCAGAAAAACAAGAGAGTAACACTTGATGGGATTTATCATTTCATATTTTGGATACCAATGGATTCTGGGTGATCAGACTTTGGAAGTACATCCTGTATTGTATAACTGTAGCAAACTCTTAATAACTCAGAATTTGATATCTCAAAATGGCAGTAAAATATTCAACTGTAAATTATTTTTTACATAAGTCACAATATTCCATGATGTGGTGACTCAATGGTGTAGCGTGTACAACTCATGCAAAATACTTGGTCGGTTGAGCCGCCCCCGACGACTGCCCGGCTCAACTGTGTGACGTCACCCAGAGGATATTTTGTATGTGGAAGAAGTTATTCTATGTGGACAAAATAATATAAAACTGCACCAGTAAATGTGAAGATTAAATAAAAATAACACTAATATATAAACTAAAAAAAACAAAAAAAAAAAATTGCATTACCATTTGGTAGTCATTTAACACAGGTCACCAGACAGAACAGCCGAGAACCCCCGCTGTGTTATACCTGGTTAGAGCCCCGGCCCCATATATTACAAGTTATCACGGGTTTACTGTGTACGGCAGCTTAAATATATCGGTTTTATCCATAGAGCAGCTAAATAAATTAACTGGAGAGGGAGACAAATGTCCACCTCACCCAATACATTATCTTGACACTGAAGAAGGCTGTGTCCTGTGTGGGTTAATAGTGAGTTAGTTACAATGAACCACACCATCCAGGGGGATCCACACACACACATATGGTATATATACAGTATTATAACTTAAGCTTCAACAGCACTTGACTTAAAGATGACAATTGCTCAACAAAATGTTAAGTTATATAATAGATGAGCAGCACAGTTAAGTATTTTAGTCTATTAATAGGAAGGAAGATGTAAGCATCACCAGCATACCAGGCAGACAAGCTTTGCTCCCATAGTAAAACTCGATCCCTTTCCTGCGGCCGATCAGACGCTTACTTGGGGAGGAGTGGTAGTGACGCCACACTCCCCCCTCGGCGTACGGGGGCACCTGTCCGTAGGGGGTGCGGTCGGCCCAGCGGTCACTCAGTTCGTTAGCAGAAGATGACAGCTGCTTGGAGAGGTCTGGTAGGTTCTCATAGTTGTGCAGCCTCTGTAGTTCTGAAATATTTAAACTTGTGGATTAAAACCCAGAGGAAGAAAACAAGTAATAATGACAAATACGAATAATAAAGGTATGAATTAAATGATGGTTCAAGAGTGCACTTGAGAGACAGATTGTGTACAGGATGTGTGTAAGCCTTCCCAGCCCCCTCTCACTGGAGAGGTCTGGGTGAAAAAAATTGCCTTAGTATTCTGTTTGTCATGTAATTTTGATGTCAAATTATATATACAGCTCCTTCCTGACTTACGACGGGGTTAGGGACCCAAATCCAGGTCGTAAGTTGAAATGGTCTTAAGTCGAAAATGATTAAATAATACGTAAAAAATCTAAAATGGGTGTCTCCTTTTCTTCTCAGCACCAAAAAACTTGCACTTTTAAGCTTGCCAGCCATTTTAAAGTGAATTACAAATGAAAATCTTGTCTGTATACTGACGTTGAGACTCGAAAATATGTAATTTGACAAAATTTTGGTACGACCGAGGCAGGTTGTAAGTGCGGGTGGTCGTAAGTCGGGAGGAGCTGTATATTTTTTTAGATAGTTTAATATTTTATATTATCACTGATAAAACATACACCAGTCAGCCTCCGTCCCTGCCTCCCCCTTCCTCCAACTCACAATGCCTCACACACAAAAGACTTTAAACTCTAGATGTTGTGGTGTTGGGGTATTAATTACAGTAATGAATAATAACTGGCCTAAGGTTAAAAATGCTTTCAGAGCATTTGAGGTGGATGTAGGGTGGATGATTATAGCGAATTTTTTTTCAGCTGAGAAAAGATGTCCCGCCCCCTTCTCAAGAGTTACAGCTGATTGGCTGTTGCAAACCTGTCCGATTTTGTCCTGAAGTAATGATGTATTTCAAAACGAGTTTATTTATGATCGTTGGGATGACCGTTTCTGACGAGAAAGATATTTAGCTAAATTATATAAAGATACAGTGCATACAGTACCTTCATTATTTCAAACATAAGCACGTAGGAAATTTATCAGAAGTATTATACGTGAATTAACTGTTAAACTTGGGTGGCAAATTCACGCTTTCGGAGGACGCATTTATTATATACAGTACCTATTTTTTCCTACAATAAGGCATACTAAGACAAATTACCTATCAGTAATACTACATTATGCAAAAACAATATTTTTAAAGATCAGAATCACATTGAAATACAGCTCCTCCTCAACTTACGACGGGGTAAGGGACCCAAATCCAGGTCGTAAGTTGAAAATGCAAAAATAATACATAGAAAATCTAAATTGGATGTCTCTTTTTCTTCTCAGCGCCACAAAACTCTTACTTTTAAGCTTGCCAGCCATTTTAAAGTGAATTACCCCCAAAAAATTTTGTCAGTACACAGCGCAATCACTAACGTCGGGACTCAAAAATACGTAATTTGAAATTTTTTTGGTACGACTGGGGCGGTCGTATGTCCGGGTGGTCTTAAGTCGAGGATTACCTGTATTACACGACCATTAGCAGAGGCGGGAAAATATGAAGTAGTTCGCAGTCAGTTCAGTGGTGAGAAAGACACAGTGACCTCTTACCTTGGGACCGAGTTGCTGCATATATGCCTGCCATGCCGCTCACTGGCTGTACATTCCTCGGTGGTAAGGGAGGACCTGCAGGGGTGTCGCTCCTACTGGACAGAGCCGAGTGGTACACACTACAGCCAGATGAAGATGATAGACTGTGGCTCAGACATCCATCCGGCGTGATCATCCTTCGTTTAACCGCTTCGGTCCGTGGCGCCGAACTCTTACTATTATAACCGTAGAGTGGGGAGATGGATGTGCAGCGCTGGCCTGGAAGGTAGGCGTCCGAGTGTGTGGCGGGAGGTCCGGAGAAGGTGTTGGTGGAGTCGACCGTGTCAACGCTGTCATTGGACGGCATCAGAGCCAAGTTCAAGAAGCCTCCCGACTTAGTGCGGAGATGACCCAGCCCCGGCCCGAGGTCCCGGTAGTCCGATACACACGATTTGATGCTTCTCGTGTCCTCCTGGTTACTGCCGACGGGAGCAAGAGCAAGGTTCATGTAACCTCCAGATTTTGTTCTCAAATGGTCTAAAGCTTGATATTCACCGTCGTCGCGCTCCTTCTTATCTTTACTTCGACCGCTACGTTTTTTAGATGCAGAATCGTCGCGGACGTGTTTTCTTTTAATGGAATCTCTAATTCTACTCGCCAAACTCCGTGCAGGAACAATTTCGTTTATATTGTGCGCGCTGACTGACTCTGGGGAGCTGTGTGAGATACCATCTTCATTAAGGGCTTCTAAGTTTCCAGCCGATCTTGACCGATTCATAGGCGAGTGCATGAGTGCTGTCACATACTCCCCGCTGGTGTTGGTGGACATTATGCTGGACTTAAATAAATCTGAAACTGTGGAGAGGTTCCTCAGCTCCCTGGTGGTGTCGGCCGCCGCCTCACAGGTCGTCAGTGATGGAGCAGCTATGCTTTTGGGTCGTGGTTTGGGCATTTTCTTTGCTCTGTCTCCATTCTTAAAATGTAAAGAATCAACTGATTTTTGTGGAATAATTCTGGTCTTTGGACTGTCAGATGTAAATGCAGTTTCAAAGCAACAATTTTGGGGTAGTTCAACATTATCTAATTCCTTATTGTCAACAACACCAGCAGACTCGGACACGACCTCCCTGCCGTCGTTCTCTCTCCTCACTCTCCTCGCGTGATCGTTAGTTTTAACAGAACGAACAGTTTCCGGTTGTCTCTGCATCGCAAACTCTTGCGGTGATTTACTCTGCCGGAGAAGTGGCTTTATATTCTCTTGATTCTCTGAAAGAAGTCCCAGACAACTTCCCTCGTGGCTCCCTTCCAGCAGTGTGGGGTACAAGTTATCTTCCTTAAAATCTGTGTAGTTTTTTAACCTTCTAAGCTTAAGACTCTGCAGCTTAGAAGAGTTGAGGGCAGAGTTACGCCCGACGGAGGGAGTGTGCGAGCCGCTGCCGAGGCTCTTGCTGGACCCCTGCCTCCTGAACACTCCACTAGCCTCAACATCAAGTCTCTCACCATTTACAATATTGTCATTGTCTGAGTTTGGGGTTGATGTCTTCTGCTGCTGCCCACATATGCTCATGTTCAACATTAGATCATCCACAGAATCGTTGTCGTTAAAGTCGTCCGGTCGGTAGCTCCCACCGCTGGAGGAGGAGGAGGAAGCACCGCCGCTGGAGGTTGGCGATCGGTAAGTTATGTCGAGGAACTCGGCGCCGATGTACATTCTAATAAAAGATTCGTAGAGCTCGTACGGAATCAGAGGGACAACCTGCAGGGACGAGTAACTTTAATAATAAACAAAACACTTCATTAAAAAGTTATTCATTATTTCACAGATGTACACTCACTCAAAATACCATCTTGACAATGATTATGTTAAGACAATATAATAACGGACCGAAGGTTTTGGCAGCCCCACCGAGACAACAAGAGTCACAGTGTTCGTTCTTAAATACATGGGAGGGTAAAGATAGCTCGAGTGACTGTTCATTAAATAACTGGGAACACAAGACCACGATACAGACCATATTGGTGAAGAAGTCACGGACGATCTTAAAAACATCTCTTTCAACCCCAGGATAGTTGGGGATGTTGCAACTTGTGTCTGCAACATTAGGCCCTGTAAGAGATAAGACACATTAGTTAGGTAAACAACAACACAAACATTATACAGTAAAGGAACAAGAAAATAATTATCCCTTGACTACATCTTAAATTATCCTCAACAACAAACTTCACTTACCATAAAACCAAATGTTATCAAGTTAACTACAGCACAACCACACACATGTATAGTTAACTACAACACAACCACACACATGTATAGTTAACTACAGCACAACCACACACATGTATAGTTAACTACAACACAACCACACACATGTATAGTTAACTACAACACAACCACACACATGTATAGTTAACTACAGCACAACCACACACATGTATAGTTAACTACAACACAACCACACACATGTATAGTTAACTACAGCACAACCACACATGTATAGTTAACTACAACACAACCACACACATGTATAGTTAACTACAGCACAACCACACACATGTATAGTTAACTACAACACAACACACATGTATAGTTAATTAAACACAAATTCACACACATGTATAAAGTTAACTACACACAACTACACACATGTATAGTTAATCATAAATACAACCACACACATGTATAGTTAACTACAACATACCACACACATGTATAGTTAATCACAGCACAACCACACACGTGTATAGCTAACTACAGCACAACCTACACACATGTGTATAGTTAACTAAAACACAACTCACACATGTGCATAGTTAACTACAGCACAAATCCACACACACATGCTAGTTACTACAGCACAACCACACACATGTATAAGGAAGTTAACTACAGCACAACCACACACATGTATAGTTAACTACAACACAACTGAATAATACATGTATAGTTAACTTACAACACAACCACACACATGTATAGTTAACTACAGCACAACCACAATACATGTATAGTTAACTACAACACACAACCACACACACATGCTAGTTAATTACAACACAACCACACACATGTATAGTTAATAACAACACAACCACACACGTATAGTTAACTACAGCATTCACACACACAGAGCAGTTAACTACCAACACATCCACACACGTATAGTTAACTACAGCACAACCACACACATGTATAGTTAACTACAGCACAACCACAATACATGTATAGTTAAATTACAGCACAACCACACACATGTATAGTTAACTATAACACACCACACATGGCATTGAATTCAAATACACACATACATATGGAAGTTAACTACAGCACACCACACACATGTATAGTTAATTACAGCACCACACACATGTATAGTTAATCTTACAACACAACTACACACATGGAGAAAGTTAACTAACACAACCACACACATGTATAGTTAACTACAGACAACTATTATTACATGTATAGTTAATTCACAACACAACCACACACATGCAGTTAACTACAACACAACCATTGCTGTATAGTTAATCACAACACACCCACACATTACGTATAAAGTTAACTACAACACAACCACACATATGTATATAGTTAATTCATAAATAACCACACACATGTATAGTTAATTACAGCATGTTCCACACACATGTATAGTTAATTACAGCACAACCACACACATGTATAGTTGCACAGCATTGTATTCATTAAAGACATGTATAAATAACTACAACACAACTACACACATGTATAGTTAATCATACATAAATTCACACACATGTATAAAGTTAATTACAGTACAACACACATATGGCAGCACATAACACAAATTCACACACATGTATAGTTAATTACAACACAAATTCACACATGTATAGTTAACTACAACACACATACACATGGTTAGTTAATTTCAACACAACACAATATGTATATATAAAGTTAACTACAACACAACCACACACACATGTATAGTTAACTGCAACACAATACACACACATGTACATGGTTAGCTACAACACAACCACACATGTGTACTTAGTTAACTACAACACAACCACACACGTAATATGGTTAACTACAACGCAACCACACATGTATAGTTAACTACAACACAACCACACACATGTGTATAGTTAGCACACAACACAACCACACACATGTATAGTTAACTACAACACAACCACACACATGTATAGTTAACTACAAACACAACCACACACACATGTATAGTTAACTACAGCACAACCACACACATGTGTATAGTTAACTACAACACAACCGCACACATGTATAGTTAACTACAACACAACCACACACATGTGTATGATTTAACTACAGCACAACCACACACATGTATAGTTAACTGCAACACAACCACGTAATGGCCGAGATTAACTACAACACAACCACACATGTATAGTTAACTACAGCACAACCAGACACATGTATAGTTAACTGCAACACAACCACACACATGTATAGTTAACTACAACACAACCACACACATGTGTATAGTTAACTACAGCACAACCACACATGTATAGTTAACTACAACACAGCCACACACATGTGTATAGTTAACTACAACACAACCACACACATGTACTATGGTTAACTACAGCACAACCACACACATGTATAGTTAACTACAACACAACCACACACATGTATAGTTAACTACAACACAACCACACATGTATAGTTAACTTCACAACACAACCACACACACATGTGTATAGTTAACTACACAACACAACCACACACATGTATAGTTAACTACAACACAACCCACACATGTGTATAGTTAACTACAGCACAACCACACACATGTATAGTTAACTGCAGCACAATACACACATGTATAGTTAACTGCAACACAACCACACATGTGTATAGTTAACTACAACACAACCACACACATGTAGTTAACTACAGCACAACCGCACACGTAGCATGGTTAACTACAGCACAGCCACCATGTATGGTTAACTACAACACAGCCACACGTATTGTATAGTTAACTTCTAACTAACCACACATGTGTACATAGTTAACTACAACACAACCACACATGTGTATAGTTAACTACAACACAACCACACATGTGTATAGTTAACTACAACACAACCACACATGTGTATAGTTAACTACAACACAACCACACATGTGTATAGTTAACTACAACCTGACTTTCCTACATGTGTATAGTTAACGCCACAGCCACACATGTATAGTTAACTACAACACAACCACAGACATGTATAGTTAACTACAACACAACCACACACATGTATAGTTAACTACAACACAACCACACACATGTATGATTAACTACAACACAACCCTTTACATGTATAGTTAACTACAACACAACCACGTAATGTATAGTTAACTACAACACAACCACACACGTATTGTATGAGTTAACTACAACACAGCCACACATGTATAGTTAAACTTTACAACACAATACACACACATGTATAGTTAACAACAGCACAACCACACACATGTATAGTTAACTACAACTACAACCACACACATGTATAGTTAACTACAACACAACCACACATGTATAGTTAACTACAACACAGCCACACATGTGTATAGTTAACTACAACACAACCACACACATGTATAGTTAACTACAACACAACCACATGTATAGTTAACTTTACAACACAACCACACATGTGTATAGTTAACTTCACAACACAACCACACACATGTATAGTTAACTACAGCACAACACACACACATGTATAGTTAACTGCAACACAACCACATATTGTATAGTTAACTACAGCACAACCACACACATGTATAGTTAACTACAACACAACCACACACACATGTATAGTTAACTACAGCACAGCCACACATGTGTATGATTAACTACAACACAACCACACACGTAATACATAGTAAGCTACAGCACAACCACACACATGTAGTAAGCTACAACACAACCACACACATGTAGTTAACTGCAACACAACCACATATGTGTATAGTTAACTACAACACAACTCCCACACACATGTATAGTAAGCTACAATACAACCACACACATGTATAGTTAACTGCAGCACAACCACATATGTGTATAGTTAACTACAGCACAATACACACACATGTATGGTTAACTACAGCACAACCACACACATGTATAGTTAACTTCACAACACAACCACACACATGTATAGTTAACTACAGCACAACCACACACATGTATAGTTAACTACAACACAACCACACACATGTATAGTTAACTACAACACAACCACACACATGTATAGTTAACTGCTTTAATACACACATGTATAGTAAACTACAACACAACCACACACATGTACATGGTTAACTACAACACAGTACACACACATGTATGGTTAACTTCTGGCCACAACCACACATGTGTATAGTTAACTGCACAGCACAACCACACACATGTATAGTTAACTACAACACAACCCACACACATGTATAGTTAACTACAACACAACCACACACATGTATGTATGGTTAACACAGCACAGCCACACATGTATAGTTAACTTTACAGCACAACCACACATGTATAGTTAACTGCAACACAGCCACACACATGTATAGTTAACTACAACACAGCCACACACATGTATAGTTAACTACAGCACAGCCACACATGTGTATAGTTAACTACAACACAACCACACACATGTATAGTTAACTACAACACAACCACACACATGTATAGTTAACTGTACAATACACGTAATATGGTTAACTACAACACAACCACACGTAGCGCAGTTAACTACAGCACAACCACACATGTATAGTTAACTGCAACACAACCCACACACATGTATAGTTAACTACAACACAACCACACACATGTATAGTTAACTACAACGCAACCACACACATGTATAGTTAACTACAACGCACAGCCACACACATGTATAGTTAACTGCAGCGCAATACACATGTGTATAGTTAACTACAACACAACCACACACATGTATAGTTAACTACAACACAACCACACACACATGTATAGTTAACTTTACAGCACAACCACACACATGTATAGTTAACTACAACACAACCACACACAT